CCACTAGAAGAAATGACCACTCGGTCAAGAGGGTAACGACTACAATTGTGGAAAAATAGTCAATAAACTGAAATTTCGCCTTCATTTCAATTCGAAGCCAGTCATCAACGGTGAACAATATCACAAGCAGACCGAGAGCTCCTGGGGTTGACAGCCAACTAGCAACCAGGGCAGCAATGAGCTCTGCATGCCTGTCAATTTCTGAGGCATATGGAGGCATTGTACGATCCCAGATATGAAAGTGGTCGAGGAAAAAGCGCCCGAGAGCACAGGCTCCGATGTTATACGCAGTGAATCCCAATGTGATCCCAAAAAGCCAGGCGATAAAAGTTCCCCATTCTCTCCAGAATTGGGACTATAAATTCATATATGTGAGTTAAATTATATGCACATAAGTAGGCTCAATTCACCATTGCAGAATGGTGGATGTATACACGCTCAAGATCAGAGTGCTGAATGGTTCCTACTCTGGGAGTACCCATCTGAAGCTGGAGGATACAAAATTATCGGCTGTAGGATAAACCAAAATAAGCCCAAGAAGTTTTCGAGTCCGAATTATTTGGTGGTGGTGCCAAACGTCTAAAAGTGTTGAAAACGATGAAGGAACCAAAGCAAGAGGAAAGATGTGTTGTTGAAAGCGCCCGTCGCCTAACATGCACCAGCCACCTCTGAATGAACGTCAGCACTTGTTAGCAGCGACCACCACCATGTCAACTCCAAAAGCTGGGACAATCGCGCAACACCTTGAATTTGAGCTGGAAACGCACAATCTGGAAGCTCATGCCTTAACGGGACGAGATAGCTTAAATGTACGGCGCATACGTTTGACATCCACCGCTCGGTTTCATGCATCTCACAGTATTTCAATTTCAACTTCGCTTGGATTCTTGTCTTTTTCGTTCCGGCGTTCTATTACAACGTATACGTCTCATCCTTAGGACGTTACGTTCTGGGTATCTGTACGAACTGGCAGCAACCGATCTCATCGACTGTTGCTGACGAAGATAATGATGTTCATGGCCTCATAGCGAGCCTGTCGTCTGTTTCGACCTTGTTAACAGTTTTTGCTTTTGGGAAACGCAACGTTATAATTTTCCCACCGGATTTGACCTCTGTCGTCTGGGCGGTGATGGTGTACTGGGCATCGATCCTTCTCACTAGCATTTGCCTTAAGGGGGTTGCTCCTCTCACCATCGTGGTAGTTTATATCTCCGGAACGGTCGCAGTTTGGATAGCCATAGCACTTGTTATGATGGTGGTCTCTATCTGGGCAATTTGTGACGGCGTCTGGCGACACCAGCCGGGGATCATACCCACTGAACTTCAATACATAGGCCGAAAACCAAGACGTAATCGGAGGACACTTTCTCATGGTAACCATCAAGGACTTGGAGCTTCTCCTACTTCACCACGAGGATTTGGCCTGGCTGCTTCCTTCATTTCCTTTTTCGTCTATCATTTCATCGTCGTGGACGTAGGCCAAAGATTATCGAGATCTAGTTCACCTCCTAAAATTCCCTCATATATGTCTACACTCCACATTGCTCGAATAGCCGGTATTTCTGCCATGTTCTCCGTGGTCACTTGGCCTACCGTTTTGTCCATAGCTAAGGGCAGTGGCTGGAGGCTTCGAAAGGCCGCCGGTATCACTCTCACCTTTGTCTTTTTGGGGCCGGGGATAGTTTCAAGCGCATTGGAACGTGTTTTCTCTGATGGCGCTACCTCCGGCTCAATGGTGAGCATATACACAATGGGTTCTTTAATAGTCGCCCCATTCACAGCCCTTCTTCTCGTATTCTTCTCTTTACCGTGGGCTGGTCACTACCACGGCCTTAGACATTGAGCGTCCATCGTTTCGGCTTACTTGCTACTCTTCAGGCGCTACATGTGGTTCTTACTCTCAACGTTTGGCCACTTCCTACGGATCACCTTTCATATCAGCGGCATTCCCTTGGCGCTCGTTGGAAAACTATCTCGGGGAGTTTGGGAACCAGAGCCTCCCAAGGTGGATATGAAGCTCGGCTATGGCATGGGTCATCTTCTAATTCCCTCTTTACTGCCACGGAAACAAGAAGCCCACGAATAGAATGGCCTGCATAGTCCAATTTTTGCTAGTGAGGAGCTGTTACCATTTCTCAGCCCTGCTCTCGGATTTGCCGTACGAACGAACCTGCAAATGTGTACCTCCTCTTCTTCTTCCACGTTGTTCGGACGCTCAAATTAATTAAATTATCGTGAAAACTTTCAGGGTTTCAGGAAAGCGACACAACTGTTATTCTCCATTGAAGCAATATATCCCACAATCGCACTTGCCCCATCACCACGATATCCAAAATAACTTCGTCTTTTGTTTTTGAAGTGAATGCTTCCATGCTTTAGAATGCGGGAATGTACACTTAACATGTCCTCTAAGACGTGTCATCGATTTATCATTCTCAGGCGGCCTGCAGGATTCCCGTCCGTTCTACTTTCCTTTCGTCCTTAGCGTTTCTTTATTGAAGCCTCAGTTTTTATCTATTTGATTCATTCTCTTGCATTTTAATATCGATACATCTTCTTTCTAGTTGTTCGCTAATTGATGAGGCGTCGTCTCTTTTGAAAAAATCGAGTATTTAGATGAAAGTCGCCACGATGTCTACTCACTTCTGACGCTTTTTTGAGCTACTCAAAACTTCGTCTCGACATAAAGGCATGAATTATCAATGCACTCAAATCCTTGTTTATGGGGGCATGGGGCTTATCCCGTTAGCAAGCCAGTCCTCACTAGAATTTTGCGACAGGATTGTCGATACCACCTTTCTAGACGTGCCCCTTCCCCCTTGATAAGGGCAATCATATCTTCCGATCAACCTGCGTTTGATAAACATCATCCCGTTTTGCACACGACCACAATGATGTCTACGCCAAAATCAGGGACCTTAGTCCAGCATTTTGAATTCGAGCGCGAAGCAAAACTGCTAATAGAGCAAGCACGAAAACACCGAGAGCGTTTTGATGTATGTCTTGCGTGTTCTTTAAAGCTTCCTCCTGCTCACGCGTCTCACAGCCTTTTCAATGGGACTACCGCTGGATTTCCGTCCTCTTCGTGGCAATTTTTTGCTACAACACACTGATCTCATACTTGGGAGGCTTCATTTTGGATATCTTTAAGAATGGCCTGAAACCGATCCGTCCCACCCCAGCTCCTTCCTACAATGGTGGTGCTGATTTATCCAGCCTAGTCTCCTTTTCGAGCTTACTCACAGTTTTCACCTTCATAAAATGTAACATCATTCCCTTTCCTCCAAGTTGGACATCGATTCGATGGGTTATTGCGGTCTACTGGTCGTCTATCCTTTTCTCGAGCACACCATTACATTTCTTCTTCGAGAGAGCGGCTCCTTTTCCAGCTCTAACCACTTATGCATGCGGAACTATAGCAGTTTTGTTAGCATTAACAATAGTTGTGGTAATCGCTCTGACTATTTATGCGACAATTCTTGTGGTCGCTTTCGTGGTTGGACCCTTGCTTCCACAGCTAGCAAGTGGTGTACATGATTGGCTTTTTCAGCGCGAATCAGAAGTTGCGCAAAAGGGGCGAAAGCGTGGAAAAAAGAACCCAAAGCGTAATCGCAGGACGTTCAACGTAGCCCCTCATGTGGCACGTGGGATTAGCTCCACCGTTTCCTCTGTTTCTCTATTCCTCTATCATTTCATCGTTGTAGATGCGGGTCAGCGACTGATGATTCCAGATTCATCTCCTCGTGCCCGCTCGTCTATACCAACGCTGCGTGTTGCGCGGATGGCGGGCGTATCTGCGACCCTTTCAATTCTCACTTGGTTGATGGTGTCACCCATAGCCAAGCATCAACGCTGGAGACTCCAAAAGATGGCTTGGATTTCTGCACCCAGTGTTTTATGGGGTCCAGGCTTACTTTCTAGTCTGTTAGAAGATTTTCACTCAGGCAGTGTTTTGCCCACTTCAATAGTGAAGACATATATCACAGGCTCCCTAATAGTCGCCCCATTCGCAGCGGTCCTTCTTATTCCCTTTTTTTTGCCCTGGGTGAACAATTACCAGCGTCTCAGGCGCTGAGCTGCCATCGTCCAACTTTCTCTGCCACCGCTGATGCGTTACGAAAGCGCTCTTATAGTCGGCGCTTATCCTTCCCAACCGGCCATCAATTTCGACAGCACCTCAACATCTTTCAGAATACCATCGTCATGAGCATTTTAGAAGCTGGAACATCGGAGCAGCATTCAAAGTTTGAGCTCGAATTTGTACCACTGCGCCCCCCTCCGGTTGATCCTTTTATTTATGGCCACGAAAATAGCAAGCTCACACTCGGGCGTACAGTTCAAATTTACCAAACAATGGGCCATTCACGCTATTTGGTTCACTTTGAAGTTATTTGCTATGTTGAGCGTTATTATGGCTATCGTAATATCGTACAACCTAATCGCTTGCTCATTTGGAAGGCACATCCTCTCCCGCTATCGTCTATGGGAGGGTACTATTCCCCCTGATGCAGATTCCAAGGCTGGATATTTAATCGCAGCAACAGTGGCTGGCATCTTGGCTGGCGTGTCTATTTTTCCATTGTTTATAGCCTTTATCTTCCTCCCACAACGAGGAGTACCTCTGAACTTGCGTTTGGGACCAGTGGTTGTTTCGAAGCGTTTTGCACATTGGAGTCTGTTTGCGGGCGTGATTGTTTTTTCGTGGACTTTTGTTATTATTGCTGGAGCTGTGATGCACCGGACGTATAGCTACGTTACCCCACTATCGATGTTAGGCATTTATGCTTTCGGTACCTTGCTAGCCCTCCCTTCAGTGGCATTTCTAGCACTTGTGATCATTGTTTCCTTAATGTAAAAATATTCCAAGTTTACATACTTTTCGAGCACATTAGGTCTTGATTACTTAAAATTAAATATTACAACTCGAAAGCAGAGACAGCGGCTCTGTGAGCTGGAATCAGTACCTCCATTTTATGGCTCTTGCAGCATGATCTCTGTACGCTCTTGTAGTGTAGAGGCTATCACATGGGATTCTGATATCAGAACATTCCCATAACCCTGGTTCGATTCCAGGCAGGAGCTTTTTTTTTGTAGTCGGGACCTTGCGCATTGGAGCTGGACAAAGCGCCCCATTTGACGGTCTCTCTTGTTCATCACCACCATGTCAGATTCTGCCGGCAATGGCATCCTTCCTGGCACTTTTTTTTCAAGACCCCGCTATGAGATGCCGAATCTCGGGAACTGTGTCTGTACCCAGGGCACGGGGCCACCCTTGTGAGAAGGAAGCCGTCAAACCAAATCTGAACCCTAGCCTCTCCTTATACGTCGTCCTTCGCTCTCTCGCGGACCACGACGACAACGATGGAGCTCATGGCTGGTGCCCCATCCGTCTTCAACCTCGTGCAGTTCGTTGATGCTGCTCTGCATGTCGCGCTGACACTGAAGGGCATGGTTGACAAAGTACGGAGCACAATGTCATCTGTTGGCTGGCTGTTTTTTCTTTTTGCTGACGCGAAGCCTGGTTCTAGGTCAAAGAGAATAATGACTTGCACACTGAACTCATGCGGAACATCCTACGCCATCTCAAGGAGCTCAAGCGGGTGGGCAGACGCGCCGACTCGGTCTACATGACAACCCCTGAGCACCGCAGGGCTTTTGAGCTGCTCAAATCGTAAGCTCGATTTCCTGCATGAGTTGCGTTCAGATAATTGACTTGTCTTGCTAGGGATCTCGACAAGGCACTTGCCTTGTGCGAAAAGTCTTCTCCACAGCGAAAGTCCAAGATCATGCGACTAATTGGTTCTGGGCAACTTCATTCAACTCTTGTTGCCGTTGATGAAAGAATTCGGAGATGCCTGGAGCTCTTCAATGTACGTGATTTTCTACTGCTGACCCATTTCTAATGTTCAAGCCTCTTTTGGTAGACTGGGGCCATCATGCGCGTCGAAGAGAATCTGGCCGCGTTCAGCCAAGCGCTTACAGATCAAACTGTAGACATGAAGACACAAATGGTCTCCGTTACGCAAGACCTTGACCATGTACGACGGTCACTCAACCGCATCCTCGACCACCACAATCTCGACGTGTCTGACACAAAATCCTTGCTGGACAATCGAACCGATAACGAGGTAAGCAACCTCCTCGTAATCTCCTCACGGCGCCTGAGCCCAAACCCCTCCTTTTAGACTTTCAGAACTGCAAGATCTCGGAGCAAGAAGACCCTGCAATCTGTCTCTGAAACTTTAGTCCAAAGTCACTATCCGCCGCCATCGCTAAGTGGAAGTACCCTGGCGTCTGTATCGTCCGCTTTTAGTTCTCTTCGTTCCGACTCCGGCAAGGATGCCATTCTTTCTGTCATCGATAGCCTACGAATTCTGCAGCGCCAACGTTATCAACCCTCTGCCCATGAGCTTGACCACCTCGCAGTAGCCCTCTTCACTATTGGGCAAGCCGAACAAGCCAAAGACCTCAGTCTTCAGGCGGCAGCCCATTTGTGTAAACGTGACACTTATGAATGCCGTGCCAGAGTGTACCTCAATTTGTCTAGCCACCTTCTCGCTGTGGAAGCTCCCTATACAGATGTCCTCAAAGCCATAGAACGGTCCGTCTCCTACTACCGCAGAGCGAGAGTGAAAGATGGCTTGGCAACTTCGCTCGATCATCTCAGCGCCATTCTACTGGCCTACAAGTCCTCTTCTCTTTCAGGTATTGAGGCGTCTAACGAATCTGTCGCTCTCCGGCGAGAGACTTGTGATTCTCGAGATTCAATGGAATCATCAACAGCATACGCACTCGTCCTCTCCAGACATGCTCATCGTCTGTATGCTGCCGCCCAACATCACCCACACCACTTCTCATCCGAAGCCTTACGTTCGAGCACAGAGTCGGTCGCTCTCTATCAAGATATCCTCAAACGTTCGCCCTCTAGGTCCGCAAGGTTGAGGTTGCAAGGGCTTTATGGAGCCTGTCTACGCATCCACGCTCTCTGCCTGGCAGACTGCAGGAAGCTGACCGCGGCCATCACAGCAGGCTGGGAAGCGGTCGAAATCTTCTCTGCACAAAACCGTATGGATGATCAGGGCGTCGCTGCTTTGCTCAGCTCCATCGAAGCTGTCGTCACTCTCATCGGAACGACAAAGGACGATCTCTATGCTGCTGCCCAGACCATGGACCTTCGACAGATCGTTGCTCAGATGAGAGAGCTGCCTTGGGATGATGCAATTGATCTTGCCAATGCCGCTCAGGTGGCTGGCGATGCTTTACACTCGCATTGCTGTCCCTCTGGAGCCAGAACTATGTACGACTTGGCTTATGACGTCTACCGTGCTTTAGACAGAATGAACTTCACCGCTTCATCCGTCGAGCAAGCTGCGTGCATCCAAATGGGACAAGCACGGGCATTGCAGGGCATGGCAGACTGCCTTGTCGAGTCGGAGAGGACTTCAAAGGTGGAACGTGCGTTGGATTTTAGTCAACAGGCTTGTGATATTCTCTGGGCTTTACCTGGTCTTCCAACTCGCGATCAAGTTTTGGCAGACACGTTGGTGACCATGGCTAGGTGTCATCGATTCTTCGACGATGAGCTAGCTTGTATTAGCGCATACGAGACTTCAGCAAACCTCCTCACTACCATTGGGAGTGAGAATGAGAATCAGAGGACGAAGCTAGCTTCAATTCATCACAACCTCGCTACTCTTCTTACGCCCGCGGACAAGCTTCTTGCCGTGCACCATTTCGAAGAAGCCTACAACCTTTACCGACAACTGCCCTCAACTGCGCCTGGCCAGTACATTATTGTTGGCGTCGCGTATTCTGTTCTCCTTTCGGAAGTAGGGAGGCATGAAGAAGCGCTGGTCATAGCACAGCAAGTGAATGGAGTGAGCGTTTTGTCAAGTGGGTTTCGGTTGAAGAGGAGGGCAACCCAGAGATTGAGAACTTGTCAACAGCAAACAAGAAGGTCCATGTTGTTAGGAACACAACATGGAAGACGGCATTCAGTGTTGTTTTGATTTTTTTTTCCCCTTTCCTCTCCTTGTTCCGGTTCTATTGTGTTGTTTTGCTGTGCCTGTTACCATACGTACTTTGCATTCGGATCATTGGATTGTTGCAATCCTGCATATCCCATTCTACTGTCGCTTTCCTTGTTACATCAAACACGTCCTGCACCCTGTCCTTTCTTTGCGTCACCTAGTAACATCACCTCTTCATATGCCGTAACTTATATACCCACCCTCAAAGACTTTTTTACGACACCTTTCATGTTTTACGCCAGTACTCGATACTTTAACTTTTCATACAGTGAGGATCAGGACTTTCTCGTGTCCCAGAAACCCTTGACCTATTGCCACAATCGAGCCCCTTCTTACGACCCGCCACTTAGCTTACTGACATGTGTCACTAACTCACCCTACCCCTCACCAAATGTTGAAACGTCTATACTTCCTGAAATGTCTCCGCAGTACACATTCCTGTGAATTGAGCTGAAGGGTCTTAAAAGGTTTGCAGGGTTTAAGGGGAATAATTTTACAGAACCTGAGTGCGGAGATGAGAAAAGCAATTTTAAATTTGGCACCAACCCCACTCATTCTTCCTTACTATGACCGTGTTCTTTGGTCTTCCGCCTGCTAATCCTCGCTCATTACTCTCCCCACTAAAATAATTGGTTTCTTGGCTCCGGTGATTCTCTTTCCCTGTTAATCTTCCTGCCGCATCGGTTGGGTTGGCGATTATTTGACAAGTACTCTCCTTCGAGGTACAATGTGTCTTCTGCCATTTCAGCCCCTGGTCTGTTGGCATTGTTCCTCCTGGTATTCCCATCTTTGACGCTCAGAATTTCCCATGCCGATTACTTCAAAAGCTTAAGCGCTGAGGTTCTTTGCCTCAACACTCTTAAGTCGAAGCATACTGGTTGAATCCACGACTGGTATCAACGCTATGACATTCTGAGAGTTTACAAATTTTATTGCCCTTCACTCTCCGTTTCAATTGACTTGGATACTGATCCTGACAATCGGGCAAAGACCCATGCAACAATCCTCTTAGGCTCTTAGGGGTAAGATTCCAGTTACCTCCGCCCGGTGTGGTAGCCGTGCGGTCGCTTTCACTCCGCCGAGCAAGGCCCTAAGCCGCAGGCCAGCTCTCCGCCGCCGACTAAGAAGCCGCCCGGCGGTGCAAGTATCAAGCCCCCCCGCGCACCTTCGGGTGGTACGCCTCTTACCCTCAGTTTCACGAACTATTGTTACTATGTCCCGATGTTTATACTTCTTCGAGTACTCCGAACATATTTTGTTCCCACTTGCTGGCTCTGGCGCACTCACCACCAAACCCTCGAAGATTTGTGAATTTGTAAACGTGACAACAGGACGAAGACGGCCTTGGCTGATACATTCAAGACTGTATCTATGTAATACTGGGTCTCCAAACAAAGCAGGTTTGTGTAGCCTTGAAAATGGGCAGGGAGATCTGGTCGTGTAATCCAGGTTTTCTCCAATCAAACGTCCCTTCTACGAAGTATTTCTCTGACGCTATCATTCTTTCCACAACCCACTTTTCGATATCGAAAGGGTGGATCGATCGGAGAGCTGTAAAGAGTTTTTCAAAGCCAATCCTACAGGTTTGTACATTTGTTTCGATAGGTCACTGAAAGCCTTCTAGTACCTTGTTATCCTCCGCCTTCCCTTCTTAGTGTATTTTCAATACGACGTGAGGTAATCCTGCGGGAGAAAAAAGGGCTTACCACACGAAGATATTTGGCTGTCTCAGCTATGTGAGCTTATAACTTCATCCCCTCGACATGAAAGTAGATGACCATCCTCAGCGCCCAGTTTTGGTACTGGCATATCATGTGAAGATATGCATCTTCAGTTTATCAGGTACCTGCTCAGCTGCCTATTTAGCCGATCTAATTATGTGGGAAGCTGTCAACTGGTTGTTCACTAAAACTTAAAAGCCGACACATTCATGTGTGGTGATGGCCCAGAAGCAAGTACTCGGAATCAATATGTCGTTGAAGGTTGTGTACTTTAATCGAACAGATTTCTATGAATATGTTCCCCATTGTATCAATCTTCTGGACATATCCA